GTGGATTGCTTACGAGGCGATCAACAAAAAGGGGATTGCTTGCGAGCGAATCCAGGGTATCGACAAAGGGATCATATGGATCCAATCGACAGATTAAGTTGCAATAAGGGAAGTACTACGATGAAGATAATGAGAGGAAATCAGGACTCTGCACAAGGATAGCTCATTCCATTGAAAACCATAAGGGATAGACATATAAGAATAAGAATGAGTAACATCTCATAACCTCGCATGCTACCATGCGACAATACCATTGTGGATTGATTAATCTAACGATCTAAGAGATGTAAAGTTTGTATTTCCAAATAAGTGAGCAGTTATTGATTATTTTCTAGAATAGGCTCGCAATTTATAAAGCTGTAAAGCTGAATTGTAAGCTGTATCCCGTCGCAGGAGTCCCAGAAGAGGACTACTGGGATCGCGAAGCAAAGGAAGATGAAGCTAACAAAGCCGCCATGGAAGCAAAGGCTCAGAGCCAAAACCGGGAAGGAAAGGATAGCGGCACGGAGTCAGAAGGTCCCTCCAAGGGCATCAAGATTCCAGCGGTGCCGACACCTCAAAAGCAAGGCGGATCCCCACGAAAGACCCTACTAGGCAAGGCCAAGAAGAAAGTCAAGAACCGATTCAAAGAGAAGAAGAACGCTGTCTTCAGAGCAAGTCCGAGGAGACCGCCACTACGGAGGACACCGACAAGTCAGCAGGCAAGAATCTCATGGAGATCCTAGAGAAGGGGCAGTGCGGGAAGACCACCAAGAAAGCCGAAGGACGGAAGAAGGAATCGAAGAAGGACTCTCACAAGGACAAGAGCAAGAAGGCCCCCAAGAAGAAGGTGGAAGTGGAAAATGTGGAGGAAAACGAAGCAGATGATCGCAAGTCTACGGATGAGGAACTCAGTGATAGCGAGGACGAATCCAGCCAGGAGAGTTCCCACAAGAATCGGAAGAAGCGCAAGAAAAAGGAGAGCCGCAAGAAGAAGAAGGAGAAAGAGAAGAATGTAAACCGTGGCCGCAAGGGCAACCGCAAGGGTACCCGTAAGCCACGATCTCGTTCTCCATCAGATTCATCCAGCTCATCTAGCGAATCCAGCATGTCTATGAACGTGTCCACTTCCTCTGGCTCAGAGTCCAGCGGATCGACCAACAGGAGCCGAGTGTCGCGGAGCCTTTCACCACCACCAAGACAATGGTATGCCCTATTATTCGCGCACCGAAACCGTCAGGGAGTGTTCGATAGCAGGCACCGAGCGGAGAAGTATGCCACCAAATACTCCATCATCAAGAAATTCTGTACCAAGAATGAAGCCAAGGAATGGATTGAATGGATGACCAAGAAATCCAAAGGAGATGGAAACTTGGATGGTGCTGACCAAGAAGCTGAGATCCGGTCTAAGACGGTAGCCCGACCACCCATGCAACTGAATGGAAGGGACAAGTCGGCTAAGAAGAAGGATGAAGTCTTCGGAGTTAACTTAGATGTTGATGGTGCCGAACTCAAGAGGAAGCTGTCCCCACCAGGAGTAAGTGATTCGATGGCCATGGAGATGACTGAAGCCATGTGTGATGTAGTGAACCTAGGAGGTAAGAACAATCGAAACCAGGAAGGTGAAGACACTGCTGTGAACATCCAAGATTCCCTGTTTGAGATCGCCACGGTGAGCCATCAAGAGAGAGCAAGCCAGCGCAAACCATGCAACGTCTACACGCTCTCGAAGTAATGCTCGCCGCCGTACCTACTAGCACGAGATAATCTTCGATGACGGTACCGTAGAAACCTGCTAGAGTGCCTACGAGGCATTCACCCATGGCATGGATACCCCAGTGGATGTTCTGTTGCAAGCGCATCAGACGGACACTCGTGGACCACGGAAGGTCATGATGAATGCAGTCACATGGTGTTCTCTATCCAAGTCCGATCAAGAGGCATGGGACAATATCTCGGAACCCGGGAAGAAGATCATTCTTGACTACGCACACGGCAGACCTAGCCTTCCGACGCAGCCAGAACAGCTCAGGGCACTCACACCCATCCCGTTCCATTAACTCCCATAACTTACTTGGTACAGGCAATGCCACACCTCGTGCATGCAACCTCGAGGTGTCATCGCACCAGACCAAGAAATCCAGCACAGCAGACACCGACCTCCTATAGTAGCTCGCTTGCAACAAGACCATCACGACACCCACATCTTTTGCCGGGAATATCGCATCCGTCTTGTTACAGTCTTCCAACTCGGCTGCCACAACCCAAGAGGCACGGGCTCATGAAATTGATTGTTCGTCCTACGAGTCTTATTCCATGAGATATTGGGAGGACCAGGAGATTGATAACGATTCAAGATGACCCAAGATTTTCAAGGGGTGTATCTGTGAGTGTGTTGGGGAGCTGCTTCTCTAAAATCTTGGGCTATCTGAATGTAATGGATAAGCTATCTTAGAGACCATTTGGCCAACATTGTTGCCATGGTGGTAACATTGTTTTTCTTTGTTTTTCTTTGCTGTTCTGCTGTTGGCGATTCACGAAATGACCACTTCCGGGTTCCGATTTCCAAAAACTGAAACATAACTGTCAAAGACGCTCACATTTTGACACCTGTCAGCGGTGCATAAAGTCAGCCCGTAGTTTCATGCAATCTCAAACATGATCCTCCTTCTTCTATGTGTCTTTCTGCCGAGGTATCGCAGCTCCCACTGACTAAATTTAAAAAGGAAAAAGCATGTACTGTCGTATTTCTTCTCCGGAGAAATAAAGGCTTGAAGTGATCCTGCTGTATTAAAAAAATAGCAAAGAATCATTTTAGGGCCGCACCGCACTAGACAATTCCGCTGAACGGTGCCATAATGCACCCGCATACCTCAGACACACAAATGTGCCCACTTAGGAACGGGCATAATGCAAGCCCCCCACAGAGAAAATATTAAAAACTCCATGGGGCGCTTGGCTAATACTAGCTTCCCCAGGCTAAAATCGCCAGCTATTCTATGGTAACCCCTTCATGACTTGGTATCTTTTGCATCTCTTCCCAAACGACTACGAAAATCACGCGACGATACGAGACAAACTAGTACAAGCTGGGACACCTGGAGGGGTTAGTCTCCAGGGACCCAATGCGGCTAGAGCTCTGGCTAGAGAGGCACGGGAGCAATGGCGCCGGTGTGGTTGTTGCGTGGACATTAGTGAGCACTGGTAGGCATAGGATGGCCGATTCATGGTATCAGACCAATGGGAGGAAGGTGTGCCGCTGGTAGACTTAGAACTGTGGCTGGTAGTCCTGGGTGAGCAGCATGGGCGCAAAGATGGTAGTAACCTATGACGTGCTGCAGATGACGATGGTTGAAAGTCAGCAACTGACCGGGGAGAGTGTTGCCCCGATGGTTGAGTAGGTGCCTTGACGGTAGTCTTCACAGGAGTGCTGGTAGAGAAGTCTGGGGGTACTGTCGTTGGTGACTGTGGCGCGCCAGAGTGTAGTAATTCCTACGTCTCTCCACGATCCTAAAACGGAACGCGTGGAAGGTTTGTCTACTGGATCTAGTAGCGTGGAAGTACTCCACGCTAATATCTAGAGCGATGTTTCATCATCAACCTAGTGTGACTGCGCGGTCATTGAGAACCCTGTTTCAATATATTCACGAGAGACTCGTCATGAGTCGAACTCAAACCCTATCTAGGATCGAGTCGCGAATAAGGCTAAGAGCCGTGTATTGCACTATGCCCAATAGCACATCCAACACCATCTATGCAGC